GGGCAAACCATCGCTTGCCACGTAAGCATGAGACAGCCACATTTCGCCACACGATGCAGTCCTCAAACGGCAGTTAACAGCAGTTAAGTTGACTGTGAGAGGAGGGGCAAAATTGCTCGGATTGTAGAGTTCAGGGGCTTATATGCATCAATTAGAGTCTAAGGGCTTAATAGCGATTCTGGGGTTGGTTCAGGGCTTAACTTATGGTTTTGCCTATAATTTAACAAGAGGAATTTGTAACTAGTACATCAGGACACATGATAAAATGACTCCACTGTTATTTATTGTACTTCTTTAACTAGGTCTCATCTCTCTTTTCGTTTCCACCTCTTCTTTCACGTGGTTTAGTCTTCTTTTTGGCAAATATTACGGTATGTCTCACATGTGGGCCACTGGTCCACATGTTAGAATTAATTATAATAATTGATGATGGAAAGGTAAGCATTAATTTTGAATTAAAAATGTAGTTAACCTTTTTTCTTTTTTCTATTTTTTTTTTGTGGAAAGTAGTTGACCTTTTCCATTGACCAGGCAGGTTCATCCAAATGCATAAATTATTAAACCTAATGGCTCATAACTTCCAATCCATACATGACATGACTTAATTCATCACGCAAAGAAAAACGTTGCCACAAGCTTCTTACACGCGGACAATCAAAAACCCAAGTGATCAGGAAGATAAAAATGTAAAAATTTTCTGTAGTTCTAAAATTTAATTTATAATTTTTTTTCTAATTAAACCCCCACACAAATAAATATAATCAAATAACCAAAAAACTAGACAAATCTCTTTTATTGTCTTTTCTTCTGTTATGGTAAATTGATAATTCACCTGGGCAGATGCTCTGTACGGTGGCTTCTAGATTGCGGCAGCACTCTTTAGGATCACATATTTAAAGAGCTAAACGTACTATGTTAATAGGTTAAATTTTTAATTTAATCTTTTAATTATTGTATAAATTTTAAATTGATTTTTAAATTAAAAAAATTTTTATTTTGATTCTTAAATTTTAAATTTTTGGCTCTTTTTCTGATTCTTTTGTTAAATTTTTTATTATGTGAACAATCATTTATTAATTACTGCTTATGTAAATGTTTTAAGGCCCCTTTAAAATTGAAATAGCCATATTAATATTTAAAAACAAAATATAAATTTTTTTTTTTGTGCCAATAATGTAAAACATAACTACTTTATCCTTGTCTCCAACCTTTAAACCTTTCTCCTCTTCTCACTATTTTTTTTTCACATTATCCAACCCGAGATGGAGTTTGTAAAGCATCCTCAATTTTCGACTCATAATTTAATTCAGTTTTCAACTGTCACATCATCTTTTCTTATGATTAGATGTGTCAACGGCGTTACAGAAAATGAGGCACTCATTTTATAGTGCTACTTTTAATTATGACCAGAATAAATGTCATAGAAAAACAATTACATCAAGAATTAGAATGAAAAAAGGCCGACATGTCAAATCAGAGCATTCATTGCCTTCGTTGTTTTTATTTATTATTACGTTACTACCCTGGTTTTATTCCAACAATTTGGGGCTTCTGTCACCGCCACCTGGCTGGTTTCAACACACGGCACCATGAAAGGTATATAAAGTTACGCTAAAATTTTTGCTACAACGAGCTTGTTTATTATTATTATAAAAAGTGTTAAAATTATTAATTTTATAAT